AATATCGCGCAATTTTCTGCTTGTGTCAGCGCCGAGCATACACAAGTTAAAACGGACTTACCGTTTTGTCCAAGCACAACGAATATTTCTCTCCAAGCGTTCATCTTTCGTTGAGTGTCTCAGTACACCTTGAGGCGCTGGCTGGTCATAGAGTATCGGCCTTGCGCGCACTTCTATCAGCAGCTCGTCCGTCAACAACGTCCCCATACCTACGCGCCAGTCTCTACTCGCGGAAACGAGCACAGCACAAAATTTACTAACTTCAAATGATACACACGCCACAACAGGCCGGCCAAGGATGCAATGTAACACCCTGGGAGCTAGAATCCGTAAGCTTAGAAAGCTACCGTGCAGAAATGGCCAGTTGTTCCAAAGCACCGCGCTCGCCACTCTGGAGCGTGGGCTGACGGGGAGGCGGAAGTCCCGTGACCACTAGAAGCTAAGCGAAACCTTGCCGCGCATTGGCTAATACGTATTGGTCGTATCGTTAAAAGGCGTAAAAGTTGAAGACCCTTTCACACCCTCATGCACGAATTTTACCGTCAGGTGCGCACGTAGTTATTATTCTGCTCGTAGTCTGAACGAAACCGTTATGTTTGTTAGGCTTACGATTGCGTGTGTTGTGAAAGATCGGCGCGTTGAGTCCGTAGTGTGAACATAGCTTTACCTACAGTATTGAAGATTGGGTCGTAGTGAACTTCCAGCGAAGATTGGGGGACATCACTGAAAGCCAAAAGCACCCCGTCAGAGCAAGATCAGTGAAGTTGAAATATTCGACTTCTCGAACTACAATTCACTCTCACAGACTCGTGGATGTTTGCCAAGCCCCGATGAGCTGGAGCTCAATCAATCGGCCTTTTTTTAGTCGGGTTAGACAATGGGAAGTGCATATGCAGTTTTACCTAATGATAGCGCAGTCTCAGTAACAAGAAATCAGACGAAGACAATTAAGACTGCTTACGTGTAGGAATGCTTTCGCATTTCTACACGCAGCGTATTCGTACAAGCAGAGCGCCACGTCTTCCTTTTTTCACACGGCGCTCCGGCGGTGACATTACGCCCCCCCCCCCCCCCCCCCCCTTAATTGCGCAGGCTTCCGTGACGATGCATCAGCTTTGACATGCTTTTCTTTGTTTTTGTTTCTGAGGCGCGTCCGCTTTGTCCTTGAGCGCCTCGACGGCATCTATGACGAAGCATCTGCGTTGCTCTGCTTTTGGCGATTAGGAATTTAACTGCCGTTTCGCTAAGCCAATGGGAATTGAGGTGCCGTTTTTCGCTGCTACAGACAGAATTTAGGTGCCGTTTTTCGCTGCTACAGATAGCACCGACTTCGCTCCATGGGGCAGTTCATGCTTTCGCAATAAAAAGGCGTCCACTCCTTTTACCATGACCTTTCATATACGCAGCAGATTCAGAATCGATCAGCCCTGGCACGGCTATTAGAACAAGATGCCAATGCTGCCTTAGCTGTTTGAATGAAGATAAATTAATGACTGGTATACCCACTGTATCGCGATGAGGCATACACCTAAAGCTGGTTCACACATGCATCATAGCGCAAAATCAACACTAGGAACAGCATTGACGCGGCGCTAACTTGAACTTAGCGATGGCAGCGGTGTATCAGGGTTGTATAAACACTAACAGCCCGAAATCGGCATTGCATCAGTAAGGTCAGCGCTACTTCTGTCGCTGAACAATTCCGCCGGTGTAGTGCTGTGGTGTCTGTTTCAGCATGGCATTATAAACTTCTAAAAGTCTGGTGCCTAACTGTTTGTTTGTCGTTTCAAATATCTTCGAATGTATATCAATTTTTCCTCGAGTGTTCGCCCGTGCTCTTGCTTTACGAGAACTCCGTGGTAAGGCGCACGTACTTGACGAAGAATGCGCTGTGCGTCAGCATCTTGTCCCACTCGTTCGACGCCCGCAGCAGGAGCAGCTTCACTACGTCGGTCAAGTACGACCAGGAATGGTTTGTCTGCAAGTTCGAGATCAATCCAAGAAGTAAAAAAATGATGACACACTGTTTGATGGGTGGCGGTTTTGTCCACACTCGGAGAAGCTCCTGCGCGACCGGTGCCTCAATATCCTTCTGTTTAGGGTGATGCCACCCTTTGTAGTACCCGATGCCGACAGCACGCGCTCACGGGGAAAATACAAAGAAATCAACGAAAACAAAATGTCGCCATAATACAGTCAACGCCACAAACGCATGCAGGGCCACGCTCTTTCACGCGCTTCTGAACAAAAAATAAAAATAAACGTGTGAGACAAAATGGCGAGATGCATCCACCCTAAGCAAAGCGCACATGAAGGCACCCTAGCGCGACCACGGTTGCGTCAACATTCGGCTCAAACTTGACTCGTTAAAACGCTGATGCAGCCCTCGTTTCCAATCTGTGGCCAGCGTTGGTCTTCTCTGATGTTACCATCTCATTCGGCACTGCTGCTTCGTTATCTAGGAGGTGTCGCGGGGCGACTACTCCTCTCTGGCTCCGCGCCAACTGTGCGCGTGACTTTGACGAAAACGAAGGGCTCGTCTCGACGAAAACCCGGCGGTGTCTGTCCGTTTGTCAGCGCCGGGGAGAGAGGGAGGGGTTGACGCGTGCTGACGTCAGCGCATCGGACCTATGGGAGCGTCGCACGGCCGCCACCTCCCCCTTCTTCTGCTGCTCTCCCCGGCGCGGACAAAACGAAATCCACCGCCTGGTTTTCGTCAAAACGAGTGTTCTAATGCTAACGCATTAAAAAAATGAGGTAAACACACAAAGCTGCGTTTGCGTTGCGTTGACAAAAGGGCCGCGAGTCGCATGTCATCCGTGCCTCCTGTGAAGCGTGGCCACCAATTCATAAAATAGCTTGGCAAGCGGTATGCGAAGCACGAATGTCCTGGTCACTGGCAGTCGCGACTCGGTACAACCAGTACCACGCTTTCAAACTACATATCGCCACTCCAGCTCGGCGTGCCATCTACCCTTATGGCCACTAGATTATACCGAAACCGGCAGTTCACTGTGGACGTCATTTTCGTTTTAAGAGCTTGTATAGCGGTAAAGCCAACCGTCAGTTTCGATTTCGTTGATTTTTAGAGCGCAGCTCTTAGGCGCCCGTTTCCGGCTTGAGCGGCGTCGGCGTCGCCGTCTGCGTAACCAAGGTCACCCCAAAGTCACGTGACCCCAGGACACGTGACCCCCAAGGTCACGTGACCCCCGAGATCAGGTGGCCCCCAAGGTCACGTGGTCCCCCTCCCCGAGGTCACTTGACCCCCTCCCCTCGAGATCAGGTGACGCCCCCGGAGCATATTAAAGAATGAGGGGAGGAGGAGGAGAAGGAGGAGAAGGAGGAGGAGGGGTCTACCAACACCTCCTAGAAGACAAGGCCGTAGCGCTCTCCTCGTGACGTCGCAAAGGAAGGCCATTGCGGGCGCGCGTCGAAGCGCCGAATCGAAGGCAACGCACGTGGATCGGCCGTCGCAGCGGCGTTTTTAGTTACACAAGCGTGTTTAATTAGCTAAACTTCCACTGCGCTCATAATGAAAGCTCGGAAGCTGATTTTATTACTCGGGAAAAGTATTGCGGCGTCGAATTTTCGACGTTAAATGGAAGAATGCTGCAGTGTTTAGCATTGTCCCAAGATATGTTGTGTTCATTCGTAAACAGCAATATTCCTAGTGGTATAATTATTCCTTGAAGATGAATGATTTTATGAGAAGTAATTATAACGAAATGACTAGATGCAGTGATAGCGAATTAACCACATCCTTGCGTGAAATAAAAACGTCGGAAATCATCACTGAAGACGAGTGGTCTAATTCCTTTTGTCTCGAACTGTTTTTTTTTGCATGCGCAAATGCAAAACGTACAGCACCAAATGCTTGCCAATACAATGTTTACAAAAGCAGAGAACATTTATGCGAAAGACTGCATGAAGCTTGTCAGCTAGAATGTAGCTAAAATATTATTTTTATTCCAGTAAGCTATTAGGTAAATGGCTACCTTACACTGCAACAAAAGCTTTAATAGGAGAAACTTGTGCACTTCATCACATGCCTGCCACAAATTGTGAAGATTTCTAACGAGCCAGTTAGGTTGTCATAAAAACTTAGTTGTAACTAGTTTGGTGCAGCATGTCTATTGCTTCTGCCTACTTCAATACATTAGTCGCATTATATCAAAATATTCGTGCTTGGCAGCAGTGACAAAGCCCCAATCCAGTTTCTTAGGCAAATCGCAGTGTTCTATGAAAACTTTGAAAAAAAAAATCTTTCGAGGTACTAAAAATAGTTCTCCAATGTCACCTGACAAGCCTACAAACTTCAACTGAATCTGGACAGCATCACAATCTCATAAGTACGTTTTCTGCTTAAAGGTAAATAGTTGGAGGATCGTTCTGCCCATGACTTGCATTCAGCACTATAAAAGTAAATTGTAAATACTGCATTTCTCACCTGAGACAGTTGGGGAAGAAAACCGCTCGTCTATCCAATGGTTCTCACGTAGCCGCGCATGTGCATTTCACATGCTGTTTTGTAGCTCTCCAGACGTGACATGCACGACACATACTGCATGTCGACTTCAATGCCGTATCACCACCACCACACTCGAGAAAGAGCACACATAACACAGAATAATGTGGCATAAACCTTCAGCACATATATTTTAGATGCACAACCATACTGTCTTCGCTCTGCAATAAAGGGCTTGAGTTCTTTGGTTGGGTGACTATCACGATAAACAATTATAATGTTCATATCACAGTTGGTCTGCAACAAAATATCACAAATAAAGTATAACACCGAGGTGCCTGCAATGAGATGGAGGTCTTCACAGGTGCAAAAGCCAGAAGACTTATCACTGAGTGGCAGTTGAATCGGAAGACTTGTGGCGAGCTTGCGCAGGTCCAGTGATGGTTGATTTGGCTCTAAGAGTTTCTGCTTTCCTTTTCTTTGCCTTGGCGTTCGTATCAATTATCTTATCATTTAACCTGCGGCACAGATTCTTCAACATAATGTTTGTGCTACACCATAAAATATGCTTAAGCACCTGCTCGCTCGTGTGTCCATCTCCACAGGTGTCAAAGTCCGAGAATTCATCGCTGGCTAGAAGTTCAACAGTGAGCTCTGTTGCTACCTGCCGCTGGTTTGGCATCTGCAAAAACTCTGGCTGCTTCGACAGTTGGACAACAACAACATAGTTGTTTGCAACTGCATTTACAACAAACATTGTTGGATGGATGAGTCCTCCCCTGTCAAGTTCTCTCACAAGGTCGTAGTGCTGCTGCATGACTGAAACCGTGATTGTTTTGTCTATTGACCATACAGCCCTGCATTTCTCACAGTTCAGCTTTTTCACAGTTGCATACACAGCATATCCTGCTACATAGACAAGGACCGGGATGATGTCCTTTATCTGTGACAACGCTTCCTCAGTTACTACGACGTTGCAATTGGGGCGTGGGGCATCCGTGCGTTTGAAGAGATCTTCCCATTGCTCGTCTCTTTTGCTGCCACTTACGGAAGCTGTGGCGATCTTTGGCAGAGTGCTTTGCAGCCGCAGTTTATGCTCAGCTTCAAAAATTTGCCTTATGGACACATGATACTGTGATCCAGCCAGTCGTCTGTACTTTCCAAAGCGCTCTTCCAAGCTGTCCGTCTGAATCTTTCCCAAGAGAAAGTAGGACAGCTGCAGTTCTTCGAAGCAGTACCTGGCGACCTCCAAGAGTGCATAAGTCGTCTGGTGGAGAGCAGCATGGGTCTCCGGGGTTAGCTTGCCTCCGGTAAAGTCTGTACTCTTCCACTCTTCGAGCCAGTCCAGAAGGTTGTAGAGAAAATCCACCTTCGGATCATCCATCGAAGGAAAGAGAGGTTTTTGAAAGTCATCCCTTTTTGCCATTCCTTTGCATGGTGTCTTGACATTCATAATGTTCCACCATTTCACTATGATTTCGATGAAGCTTGCTGTTTCCTCACAGTATTGGAGACTTGTTTTCGATCCAAGTGCACGAAGGGCATGGGGCAAGGACTCATGGAAGATCTGCAAAGCAAGCTTCACGTTTTGCCGTTCAATACTTGAGGGGTTCAGAGCCTTTCTTGACGGAGTGTAGCCAAACCTCAGCACTTGCTCGCATTCCAAGTTGTGCGCATCTCTGATTGTTTCAAAAGATGCTCGCAGCCTGCGCCGCTGCCTTGTCGGCTCACTCTCAAACTCTGGGTAGTAGAAACAAACTTTGTCATCTTGTTGGTTGAGCCAATTGTTGCGGATACACTTCAGAATGTGCACCGGATCTATCACGAAAAACAGTGGCCTGGGAGGATCAGATGGGTGTGGATACACAATCCGTGGTTCTTTGGGTGGTGGTGTAACGAAGTGGGACATCGCCTTTCTGTTCACCGCATTGTTATCACTCACGACACACACAACCCTGTAACCGATGTTCTCCAGCTCACAAATCACGTCTCCCAACATCTTGTGCAGAAACTTCGCGTCCGCTCGGTGCACAGGGACGATGTGGGCAACTTCCTTGAAGTTGGACGTGATGCTTTGAAGCATAAAAACAAACGCACTGTTGGCTGGTTCCGTGGAGTTGAGCGCCACGCCGGTGATGTTTCCGCCTTTATAGTCAAAAAAGGGCTTTATGTGAACCTCATCCACCATAAGTGTCACAAAACGCTGGCGATCATCAAGGTCAAAAATCCTCTTCCTCATATAGCTCAGGAATGTTGAACTTCGATGCTCGTGTTGAGGATTCATGTCGTACGAGGAGCAGATTGAACGGATGGTCGCCGGGTGTGGGAGAAAAATGTTACCACTGCTGCGGACATACTTGTAAGCATGAGGAGATATTGTAAAAAAAATACAACAAAAAATCATGAAGTCGACTGAGTAACGCCTTTGCTCCTTCTTCTTCGATAGTAGCGCCAACTGCTCATTAAGGAACTGAATGGCATGGACTTTGTCCTCTGCTGGTGTCGTGGACAACTGGCCAAGTAGCAGATGAATGGTCTCGAATATGTCCTCATCTGCATCCCGGGTGCTTAAGCTGTTGTCCCACAATTCAATGCTCTCTAGGAGCTTGATTAGTGCCTTCTTGCTGTTGACGCTAGCAGGAATCTGTAAACTGGATTCTAGTCTCTTGGTCGCCATTTTCCCAACGTGGAATGTAAGGCGCAAATCAGCATTCAGGACAATTAAATACTTGATCCATGGTGCTTCATCGTGAACAATGTGCACCAAAATTAGGCAATTGTTGCTTTCTATAACATGCCACAATCCAGACTTCTTGCTTCTTAAGTAGTCAGTTACATCTTTTATGCCGAGAATCCTATCGGCCTCCTCCTCAGCTTGGAACAGGTCCATAGATTCTGCAACTGCAGTTTGGAGAGCATCGGCTTCCAGGCGTACTCTTCTGGCTTCTGGATCTTCTCTCACATTTACATCAGTAGTCGACAAGTAGTTGGGGCAGTTGCGGAATTTGTGCGGCACAGCACCTTGGCAGAGTCGAGGATACTGTAAGGGTACCTTTACGGTGCACCCTGTAGCAGCATCGGTGTGCGATGTCACTCGAAGAATGTCGCTGTCAGCAAAATGGAGCTCGCACACCTGGAAAAAAATGTTGCCTTTGTATAAATAACAGCTACTTGTCAGCATCTCTTTAATTGGACCCACGGATCACGTAACGAAGAGATGTCCCAATAAATTTATATTACGCAGACACGCATGTGACCATTTTTCACATGCACGATTTTTACGCGGGCATATATGACGCTTATTACAAGCATACGACCTCTTTTAAACACTCTACAGCGTCCAAAATTTGGGGAAAACTACTGGTTGCCGAAACAAACTATAGACCTTTTCCGTGTACTCTCGTCCCCAGCCACCTATAGGCGAATCCGGTATGGGCGACGAAAAAATAATCCAACGTTTCAACCTGCAAATAGTAAAAAAATAAAGGGGAGGCAAAACGACAAAGTGTGACGTTTACGCTTATATCGTAAATGCCTTCTATTGGCGTGGCAAAGGCGAAACAATGTTTTCGCCCATACTGGAAGTGACGTCAATTCAAGATGGCGGCGCACTCGCAGAAAAGGTCTATATATAAGTATGGGCCTGCGAGAGCAATTTCCCGCGCAACGCGTGCTCTGTTTGGACAGACTCTCAGCTACCGGCCGTATTCTCGTCCTCGAGGCAAGCTGTTTAACGTCATCGAACGCTACTGTCAACGGGCGCTTAGCACCGAAAACGCACGACGCATGCCACCAGAATTAAACTCCTACTCACAAGTTTCGTGCAGCGCTGGCAAAGGCAGCGGCGCGAGCCAACGCGAGCACGTGGCTTTAGGAAATGTCTTCCTTGCACAAACGCTCGTGCAAACATTAATCTTACGGCGTTCTAGAAAGCTCGTCAACTGACTTTAATCTATACTCCTTTCACCTTAAATCTGAGACTAGAAGTTCCGCCTTCAGCGCGAACTTTCTGCACTTGCTAACACAAGTGTGAACGCACAGGAACGCGCAACCAAAGCACTGCGGAAGCCAGCGAGGTCGTTCTGAAAGCGAAACTTCTAGCCTCAGCTTAAGGGTGAACGGAGTATAGCGCTGCACACAACTGGTAACATCGAGGGGAACTCGAGAACCTCAGAAAGCTGACGAAACTGTGCAAGAGAAACGGCAATTCGAAACAGTGGGGAAGTTCTCACCCTGGAGTGTCGCGAGACAACGAGATTCTCCCGGGGAATGGCTCGTATCCACGACCGCCGCTGGTCGCCGTCTTCGGGAAATTTGAAGATGTGCACTGTTTCGGTGTTCTTGTAGTTTCCCCGACAACCCGGAACGCAGCACTTGTTCCGCATGCCGACCAAACAAACGTTCGCGCGCGCGCGCGGACAGTTTACGGAGACGAGACGAGACACTCACGAGGCGAGCACGACGAGCACACGAAACAAAACTAACTGCAACGGAAAAGTTTGAACGCGGGAGCAGCGGGAGCTGGCTGGAGCATGCGCGTTCAGTGCCACTCCGCGCGACGCCAGCCACGCCAGCGACGCCGGCGCGCCGGCCCACCGCCACCGCACCGCTCGAGATGGGCGTTTTCTCACGTCGATGCTCGATGGTTTTTCTCACGTAGTTGTGCGATGGCCTTCCTTCCTCCGCCATTGTGACGTAACCACTCGGAGCGCTATGGCCGCTATGGCCTTGTCTTCTAGGAGGTGTTGGGTCTACCCTCCCCTCAGTACCCTTCCCTCCTCCTCCTCAAGAGCTGCGCTCCAATTCGGCGTTACAGGGAGTTGTAAACGGCTTTCACTTTTAGAGCGCAGCTCTTAGGGGCCCGTTTCCGGCTTTAGCGGCGTCGGCGTCGCCGTCGCCGTCGCCGTCGGCGTAACCGCGCGGTGCATCATGGGAAATGTCCCATAATGCACCGCGCAAGCCCCCCACCGGGGTCACGTGACCTCGTGGGGGGCACGTGACCCCCCGAGGTCACGTGACCCCCCGAAGTCACGTGACTCCCCTGAGGTCACGTGGCCTCGAGGGCTCGAGGGGGGTCACATGACCCCCCGACGTCACGTGACCCCCGCCGATGACGTCATCGTCACTGATGACGTCACCGGCATCCACATCGTCATCGTCATCATCACTGATGACGTCATTAATGACGTCACTGATGACGTCACCGGCATCCACATCGTCATAATCACTGATGACGTCACCGGCATCCGCATCGTCATCGTCATTATCACTGATGACGCTCAGGAGCCTGGATTCAGGCTCCAGCACGACCCCGAAGCGATCCATACGAGAACCACCCTACAAAAATAAAGAGACGCCATGTTGGATTCTTTACGGCTTGGCTTAGAAACGGCTTCAAAGTAGGCTACTACGTCCCAAACGTGTATATAGAAGTCGTTTTGAAAAGTAAGCCAGATATTTTATTAATAGCATGGTTAGCTCTTAATATAATTTTACAATTTACCGAATATAAAATAATAAGTTAACTCGCTCAAGTAATGAGAGCCCCCCACCACGGACGAGGAATTCGGCGCTACTGTACAAAACTCGACTCCATTGGCCCTATGGAATCCGTCCGGGGGTTGCTATGGCCTTGTCTTCTAGGAGGTGTTGGGTCTACCCTCCCCTCAGTACCCTTCCCTCCTCCTCCTCAAGAGCTGCGCTCCAATTCGGCGTTACAGGGAGTTGTAAACGGCTTTCACTTTTAGAGCGCAGCTCTTAGGAGCCCGTTTCCGGCTTTAGCGGCGTCGGCGTCGCCGTCGCCGTCGGCGTAACCGCGCGGTGCATCATGGGAAATGTCCCATAATGCACCGCGCGAGCCCCCCACCGGGGTCACGTGACCTCGTGGGGGGCACGTGACCCCCCGAAGTCACGTGACTCCCCTGAGGTCACGTGGCCTCGAGGGCTCGAGGGGGGTCACATGACCCCCCGAGGTCACGTGACCCCCGCCGATGTCGCGTGACCCCCGATGACGTCATCGTCACTGATGACGTCACCGGCATCCACATCGTCATCGTCATCATCACTGATGACGTCATTAATGACGTCACTGATGACGTCACCGGCATCCACATCGTCATCGTCATAATCACTGATGACGTCACCGGCATCCGCATCGTCATCGTCATTATCACTGATGACGTCATCAGTGACGTCACTGATGACGTCACCGACATTCGCATCGTCATCATCACTGGTGAAGTCATCAGTGACGTCACTAATGACGTCATCGGTATCCGCATCGTCATCGTCACTGATGACGTCATCAGTGACGTCAGTGATGACATCTTCGGCATTGGGGGGGGGGTTCACGTGACCTCCAAGGTCACGTGACCCCCAAGGTCACGTGACCCCCCCAGGTTAGTTGAACCCCCTCCCCAGTACCCTTCCCTCCTCCTCCTCAAGAGCTGCGCTCTGATTCGGCGTTACATGGAGTTGTAAGCGGCTTTCACATTTTTTTTATACAAAATAATACAAAGTATTACTTTGTATTTTGTATTTTTGTACAAAGTGTACAAAAAGATCGATAATATTGCAAGGTCTCTATAGAAAGTCGAAAAACACCGTTTCTAAAAAAAGATTCTAAGAAAAAAAAATTCTAAGAAGCTTCAAAATCTGCTTCATGGTCCCTTTAAATGTATTTTTTTCGCTGTTTAAATTATTTATGTTTCTGCATATCTAAATATAATTTTGAATTGTTACGACACAAATTAAAGTAAATGATGCAGATACTTACGAATGGCACTGTCATGTTCGCGAACTGTAAGAAACGGAGCATTCACCGTGGGGATCGTCATCCAATAACTCAAATTTGCTCAATTTTTTTTTTTTTTGCACGTTGGATTACGTTATAAACCACTAGTTGCTTTGAGGCCCCCCTAAAAAAGAAATAAAGGCTCGTTCTCACAGTTGCGTCGACTGCGTTGAGCTGCGTTGCGTCGTGAAGCACAGCACCTCCCTAATGAATCGCCCTAAGAGTAGCCACAGCAACAGCTCGACGCGAGCAGTCTTAACGCAGTCAAACGCAACTGTGTGTGATGACGACTTGAACTGAATATGCCAGAACAGCTCACATACACGCGAAAGTTTGAAGAGGCTCAACGCTGTGTTGACGTCTCCCGACCCTACATGGAGTTTGACCAAGACATGTCTGCCAGTGCTCGGACTAACGAACATTTCGAGCCTTTTGAACCATACTGGGCACTTCGCTTGCACTTTCTAGTGACCAAAGGCGGTGGTGCGTTAAAACAAAGAGCGCCTTTCTTCCTCGCGCCTTTGTGGCGTCTCCCTTTGCATCGTATGTCACAAAGATTTGATCACAAACAATAGGTGTTGGTGACGGCGTGATTCGAACGTGCAGGCACGTATTAACCGTGACTGCCTTTGTAACTTGTTCGTGGCAGTCGGCCTCCCGACTTACTAGACAAAAAGGCAGACAGGTTTGTTACGTTGAAAGGACACAAACAGTGCTGCTAGAACACATTTTACAACCCTCGCGTAGAATTAAATCACTGACAAAATATACAAAACGTATGTAAGCTAATAGCAATTGCAAGTCCTATCGCACATGAGCACTCTTAAATTTGGGATAAAAATTACATATAAAAAAAATGCTTGTTTGCATTCTAATATATCTATCAGTAAATGAACAATTCCCCGAGCACTCATCTCACCGGCGATAAATTGCTACCTTACAACTTACGTTCTCGATCAAGTCTGGGTTTTGCTCTGCGACGACGAATTTGATTCCTTTTGCCTAGAGAAAGAAGCAGGCTATAATGTTAGAGAACATTTATATCCCAAGATGTCCCCGAGGGTGTCTGGCACTGTGAAACACACGAAATGCCAATCAAATATTGTTTCGATCAGCTCAACTAATGAGAACGCGAGGTGGCACAGGGACGCACCTCTTTTGAATCACTCACCCTGCACGACAAAATATTTAACTAGAAGGGAAACCGATATACCGAATTTGCCAAGACAGCAGAGACGGCTGTCTTCGTTGTCTCGGCGCGTTTTCAGGACAATGAATGGCGGCAGCACATCTATCTCAATTCAAAGGGGAAAACTCCGAAGCTGCGGCCGATCCAGCCATTCTAACTATAAAGAAACTGTCGGCGCGAAGGTCGTCGAATTTGCGCGGAGTAGGTTGCGTCCCCTAGTAAAGTATTTGGCACGACCACCGGGGCACGACTCCTCTCGCCCTTCCCACTGCAATGGACTGATAGCAAAGACCAAGAACTGGTGCGCTACACACGTTCGGAGGTCTTCTGGAAGCGACACCTTTGACGTCACAAGGCCTCCGGTGTTCGAAACGGGGTTCGGATATTAACGAAGAAGAGGGATGACCTTGCTAATGGCGTGCTGTCTGGTATTTGCGGTCATCCACTGGCTGTAGTCCAGGTTGTGCGCCATGGTCGCCCGGAGTTCTTCGCACATTCGAAGGACTTGCTTCTGGAAGAGAAACATTACGTACAGTACATAAGCAGTAAAACTTGGATATGTTTACTCTAACTGCCATTGTCCTTTTCGCGTTAACTATCCTTCGTATTTTGTAAGGCTCCGCGTAGTTAGTGTGAGGCAATAGCCACACACTAATAAAATAAAAGCACAACATATAAACTAAAATTCTGAAGCGACAAGTGGCTCGCCCTTCAGTGCCTTGACGGCGTGTTTCCAAGCACCCCAACTTCTCGATAAGTAGATAGCAAGCATGGCTTGCGACGATAATATGACTCAGTATCAGAAACCGTCGAAACGCTGAAGGGACAGGGGTGTGCTGTTTGTGCTGCTTCGCGCTGAACTGTACCAAGCACTCAGCTGGCGATGATCGTAACACTCCCCCACATGAGGAAGTGTTCGCATCTCTTCTCCTCATAACGGGGAGTGCTTTTCAGGCCCTCACTCATAGGGGAGTGTTTGTAACATTCACGGACATGTAAAGGAAGCTTTCATAACACTCCCGCTTACAGAGGAGAGTATTCGCAACACCCTCTATTACACAAACGTGTTTGCACCCTTCCCCGTTCTCCAACTCTCCACATGCATCGCTTCTTAATCGGAGAGTGGAATGCTCGTCGGCACCCTGTTGGGCGCGAGCTGATTGGAGCGCGCAAAGAGTAGCTGTCCCGCGGCGTGCGGAAGCCAGGTCCAGAGGTCGTGCAGGCAGAGCTCGGTGCGGGGCGCGTTGCTGGCCAGGCCGACGCGGCGCAGGAAGTCCTGCTGAATGGCCACGAAGGCCTCGCTCGTGTACGGTCCCAGAGCCAGGATGACCCGCCAGGCCACGTAGTTGATCAGGTGGCGCCTGAGGAGTGCGGCGAAGCGAGCGCGGTGGGACGAAAAAAAAAAGAAAAAAAAGAACGAAAGCTTTATGGTCACCGAGTGCTTGAAGAAAGCTGGGTAGATTGAGTTCCGAACATCTGCAGGGTTACCACTGCGCAGCCAGTAAGAATCTGGCATTGAAGAATTTTCGTAGAGCGTTTTGATATCTCCGATAACGATACCCGATGCTCGGCAGACACAATAGAGAGTTTTAGTAGATCGTTCCCATGACTCCGATAACGATACCCGATACTCCGCCACCGCCTCCCTTGCGCATGCATAGTATCGTTATCGGGGCTATTGGAGGTATCCGAACGATCTACTAAAACTCTCTACTTGCGCATGCATCGTATCGTTATCGGGACCGGTATCGAAATTAGCGGAACGTTTCTATGTTAGACGATAAAAACGCCGAAAAACGAATCATGAAGTGCGACACCTGAGCCCAAGAAAAATGCACTCTCCACGTTTCTTGAAATGGCTGTAGATATAGCTCGCTAATCCAATCGCCGAAAAGGTTTTGCCAGATTTTGTCTTCCACTTCTGCACTGCCTTGATTTCATCCGCCATGATTCGGTTTGCTCGCTTCCTGCGAAAGTTCGTTCTGCAGCTTTAATCTTATGTCGAAGAAATATACCTTCGAAGAAAGTAACAAGCGGGAATCGTCACGGGTAGGGTAAGATGACGGCATGACGACAAGTGTAAACCAATGCAGCACTATCGGACGCTCATGCTTCCCTTCGAAGCGTGCTTCCCGAGCGGTATCCAACTTGGGAACGTTTCTACAAATGCCTATTACTATAACCGGATGGCCTATATTAAAAAAAAAAAAAAAACATAAAGAAGGAAAGGGAGTGTATTCTTTCAAATAAAATGAGATTACCTTTGTCGGCGTATTTTTTTCTCAGTAGGAAATAGTGATTCGCCTATCATTATTCCTCTAGTAGATTAAATTAATAACAAAATTAACTAAATACACAGAGGATAACTACTTCTTGGTTTAGGAACTTTACAGCTGTTGTCCTGTCGTCCTAGACCAGCGCTGTGTGTGTGTTTTTAGCCTGGTTCGGTGTTATTACACGTGCTGTCTTCATTCGAATCACGCAAGTAGCCCAACTTCATGCTTTGTTTACAGCTCTGGTTAAGACGATAGAACAACATGACCGCAACTAAAGGCTCCCATTGAGTGATCCTCTTATTTCGTACAGCATAGATACTATGGCAGGTGTTATATAGATACAGCGGTCAACTTCACTTCCTGACGCCTACCTGATAACCGGCTGCCTAAACAGGTGGGACAGGTAGTCGAGGTATCTCTTGCTCCACAGGACAACCTCGAGGCCTTCGAGATCGCTGATGCCCGCATTCCTTGCCACGTCCTTGATGATCCACGTCCAAGGAATCTGGGATAGATAGTCCACTTCCAATTCCCTTCTTTCCTTGAAAGTAAAGGCAACTTCTTCCTAAGAAAGTATGCTTTTTGTAAAAATAATACATCTGTAGTACTGAAACACCAATAATAATAAGTCCCATCATGAAAGTGATCACCATTGTGGACGTATTAATTTTCGAGAACTTGACCACGGCGGAAGTCCAAAGGAACGATTTTTCGCTGAAGAACATTTCCACAGTCTACAAAAAGAAAAAGAAAAAAAATCATCAACAAGTATTATTACAGGCCGTGCAGCCAAGAGAATATTAATAATAAGACTCCACAATGCATTTGCAATGTGCGAACACCCACCTTGGCGAGGTTGACCTCAAACTGGACGATCTCCCTGGCCACCGTGGAGAGGCGTACGTCGGTGCGGAAGAAGCGCGCCACCCGGACGATGAAGTCGTGGTAGTGGTCCAGAACGCCGGCTTTCTCGGGGTACTCGAAGCGGAGCAGGCCTTCGGGCAGGCCGAAGCTCGGGTTGTCAATCTGGGCCGCAAGGGTGTCCTCGTCGGCGAATTGTTTCGACAAGACCCAATCACCTTCGAAGCACCCGTGCGCCTACAGCTCCCCCCTAACATCCGTGCAAACACGATCTTCCAATGGACATATTTGCAGTTGACCCCGCAACACCGCAAGGCGGTTCTCTACTTCCTGCTCAACTTCGTTCGGACTGCCGGACTACAGGATTCCTTGTAAACACATACCCCACACGTCGCTCGCCTTCATGCCCAACCATCCCCCATCCAGAGCCTTCATACTGATGACTGCTGTCAAGAGCTACGTCGTATCATTTCAGCTTAAGAAAGACAGGTTTCAATGCTACTCTTACCCTCACCAAAGCCATCTTCGTGGATTACGAAAAGGCTTCACGCGTATGGCACATATGCGTGAACGAATGAATGCAGCACAAACGAATGCAGCTCGCAAGAGTATCGGTCATATATAAAAAGGGCGATAAAAACGATCTTGGTAACTATAGACCGATTTTCATTTTGCCAGTCTTCTCTAAAGGACTAGAAAAAGTGCTGCTCCTTCGATAGTCATTATTTGCAGATAGTCATAACTTAATCGCCCCATCTCAGTTCGGTTTCCGCAAGCAACGATCTACTGAACTCGCTCTTCTCACTCAAAAAGAATACATTCTTAAAGGTTTTGAAAATAAAAAAAAAAAAACTAATTCTCGGCTTATTTATTGACTTCACGAAGACTTTTGATTTTCTCGATCATAAACTTCTAATTAAAAAGCTCGAAATCTATGGCTATCGGGGTCAGGTTTCGCTTCTTATTCAATCAATCAATCAATCAAATCTTTATTCAACATCGCACAGATGTTGGGGGCGCAGACAAAAAGCCTATAAAAGGCTTGACTAAGGGTCTGCGCCCCCTACAAAAAACTTAGCATTGCAACAGGGGCACGTCATAACAAAAATAGATAATCACATTGGAAGTGCGTCTCAATTTTGCGAACAAAGCACTGTAAGAGCGGTACAGCAACAGAAAAAATAGAACATACTGTGACTTGCAAGTGCTAATCAACATTTAGATTATTTAATAAAGAAGGTAAGTTAAAACGAAGCATCTGACGACCGTAATTTGTACGTGTTTGTGGAATAATCCAGTGACAAGTGGAACGTATATCGTGTATGTATACCTTACGTTGTAGATGTGATAAGTTTAAAATTGCCATGTAATGTTGTCTGATGCTCATATTGTATCGTTTTAGTAAAATATCGTTATATAATTGAGGTATAGGGAGTATTTTGTGCGTTTCAAAAACGGACTTAGTATGGGCATCGTATGGTATGTTTGCCATGATTCTAATGGCTCGTTTTTGGATTACATGCAGTTTGTTGATGTTGGAGAAAGTCGTTGTACCCCAAACCAAAAAGCAATAAGAAATTACAGAGAAAAATAATGAGTTGTACAAAAGTTTCTTAATACATTGAGGCATAAAATAACGCAATTTAGACAGTACACCTACAATTTTGGAAATTTTTTCGGCAGTCATATCAGTATGCTGATTCCATGTGAGATGCTCTTCAAATAACACTCCTAGGTTTTTTACCACCGAAACAATTTGAATGAATTCTGAGCCAAGCTTAAGGTCAAGAGTGGGAACATGAGGATATTTATTTCGGGGTCTGAAAAGTACTGCATGAGATTTGCTTGTGTTTATGGTTAACGAATTTGAAATGGTCCAGTTTTGAAGCAAGCGCAAACAATGGGAAGCTTGTTCTTCGAGGTCCGACACTTGTGCGCCTCTAAAGAATAAACTGGTGTCGTCGGCGTAAATAACGTATGTGGGGTTAGAATAAATAAGAACAATGTCGTTGATGTAAAGATTAAAGAGTAAAGGTCCTAATATGCTCCCTTGAGGAACACCGGCAAAAATGGGTTTGAAGTCTGATAATTCGTTATTTATTACAACCTGCTGACAACGAAAATCTAGATATGATTTGATTATTTGTAAAAATGTACCACGAAAACCGTAGGAATCAAGTTTTAAAAGGAGTGTTTTATGGTTTGTGGAGTCAAACGCTTTTGAAAAATCTATAAACACACCAAGTGTAATTTCTCTGTTTTCAAAAGATTCCAAAATGAGCTCTTTTTGAGTGAGAAGGGCGGTCTCTGTTGAGCGAAGCTTTCGAAAACCGTGTTGGCAGGGTGTTAATAGGCTATATTTCTCACAAAAACCGCAAATTCGCTTGTA